AGGTCTCTCTGAATGGCAGCGCAGCCCTCGGGGGTGTCGGCCACTCCTCCCAGATCGGTGTCACCTGCAAACTTGCTGAGGGTGACTCTGCACTCGTCCAAGTCACTGATGAACAAGTTGAACAGCACCGGGCCCAGCACTGCCACTGCCTCCAACTGGACTCAGCCCAAATCATCAGGACCCTCAGAGCTCTGCCACCCAGCCAGTTCTCAAACCACCTCACTGTTCACTCATCCAACCCACGCTTCCTGAGCTTTACCATGAGGATGTGACGGAAGACAGAGTCGAAAGCCTTGCTGAAGTCAAGGTAGACAACAACATTACTCAGTGCAGAGAAGGCAAATATTTAAATCAATAAAATGCTGTGATGAGTTTGCGAAATGAATAGAATTTTAACAACAAATCTGTGAATGGATAGCAAAACAATAAAGCTAATTCAAAAAAGTAGATATAGTGACAGTAACATAAAAAAGAAAGGAAAACATATTTCTTTTAAAAATTGAAAGAATAGCAGTCTATCCTACCCACACACAACCAAACTGAACTACATTATAACTAAGGCAATAGAAGTGTCAGCATAAAGCCAAAAACTAAAAGGCACCAAAGAAATGTGTGTAGGTACATTATGAACTCAGGTAAGGGAAGTATACTCATTCACAGAACTGTATGGCTCACAGATTTTTTAAGTAGTTGTTGAAAAAGGACTTAATTTATTTCCTGTAAAAAAAGTATCTAACATAAGGCAGATTTTAATGACCATTTTTGTAGTCCTTATATAATCACTTAAAAATAAGTAAACGGATAGTGAAAATCAATTTTCAAGCAGCCCTTTCAGAGGAGAAAAGTAGGAAAAAAAGGCATTTCAATATCTAGTAGGATAAATTCAACATACTGCATATTAATTTACATTAGGAAAAGGAGATGTTATGGGTGTCTGAAAAAAAATTTAGAAGAGAGATACAATCTTTATTTAAAAATCAATTTTCAAAGAGAACATAGGAATAATTTAAAAGGCTAATGTATTTCAAATACAGCAAGAAGCAACTGGAATCAAAAAATGGTAAATCCAGCTGTTTTGCAGGAATCCCACTGATGTTCAAACACATGGTAAAGCTGCTGCAAAAGTTTTTTCAAGGACAACATAAAGATTTTGGTTTCAAAATGTCACCACGATAAATACTTTAGATGAATATCCAACAAATTCTCTCTTTTTTTTTTCCTTCTTTATGAAACTCTAGAGTTGAGTTGGAGCATTTCTAATTAGACTCTGCAACAGGACTATAAAAGCCTTTCCCTTTGGGAAGACAGGAAATCTGAAAGCCTGACTGATTGAGGAGCATATTCTGAAACCAAAGCAACCCTAGACCGAAAGAACAGAAATAACAAAGGGACTTCTAAGAGTCACAGTCTCTCTGATTCCTGTACTTGGTGCCACACTTCCTATGTCTCCTTCCTACCTTTTGACTGCAGTAAATCCACCAGACCATGTATATATGAGAATGTGCTAAGTTTTCCTAAATATCTTCTCAATTAAGGTATTAATCTGAATAATCTGACCCTATTAGTGCCTGAAGACAAAAGAAGATGGATTATTTAGTGTTTTTGTAGCCACAGCACTCATTTATTTTCTGGTAAAAGTCTTAAAAACTTAAAGTATACCAAAATTTGATTAACAGAAATCTGAATGTATGCACCAAAAGAGAAAATAATATATTCTTTTGAGACAGAGTAACTTTCACCATGAATTATCTACAAGGCTAGACTTTGCCTAATATGAATGATGATAATTTGAGTTTGAAAATGAATGCTTTCTAGATACAGTAATAAGAGACTTAAACCAAATAAATTTGTTAACTTTACGATTAGTTTGTATCACAAAGTGTGTTTAAAATCATGTTAGTCAAAAAAGTGCTGGTTGATAAAGTTTATATGCTGATTAATTAAAAAAAAAATAATCCACCCTCCCAGTAAGCACAAGACCTAGGGCAAGGCAATAGAAAATAAGAGGGCTATGGTACAAGAATGCATTTTTGGACAGCCCTGCTGACCGCTGCCGGCTGCTGCATAGACCAAGCAGCATGAACTGCTCCACGGATGCTGAGGAAGGTACTTATATCACCGTATAGGTACCTGTTAGGAAAGCCTGACCTAGAGGTAACAGCAGAAGTGCCATGGTGCTTAGGTATTATATGAAATACCTAACTCAAAAATTGTAAAAAATATCTACCATTTAATATAAAAACACTATTTTTATCATTATATTTTTATTTTAAGCTATTTTTATCATTATATAAAAACAACAAGGACATTCATACATTGATTTTTCCCTTTGCTGTGCATTTATTTGTGGTTAAACACGCATTATCAATCATATTTATATTGTGTCAGAAAAATATGCACTGAGATTCCATTTCTCTTTATCACAAAAATATTCCTAAATTCATAACAATAATTTATAAATAAGAAAAATGTCTGCTGATTCCAGTAGATTAAATTGAGATGGTAGTACCTGAAACAACACCAATTCCATCGTCACAGTCATAGTCAGAGACTTCACTGTCACTGATTCTTTTGGACCCTGACAAAGAAAAAATCAAAAATATATCACTGTTATTTACTCATAAGTCAAAACTATTCTCAGGCAATAATATATACAGAGATGGTAAGGATTTCATACTACAAAATGAAGCATTAATACATAAATATAAGGGAATTTACTGCTACAGTATTGCAAATATACCAACTGTTTTCACCTAAATGTCTAATGTTATACAGTACAACATGGTGAAATACCATACTACTTGGTGAAATACTAGTTGGTGAAATACATCTTTTTTAAGAAATATTTGCATATGCTTTGCGTGCATAATTCCATACACAAATATACATTATACTATTCATCTTCCGGGTGTTCTTGTACCCCCAAAATCTGTGAACACCAGAAAAATGAATTAGCGTGATCTTGTTAAACAGATGTCATAGCTTCTTTAGCATTATTGGGAACAGGCAGTTCACACACACAAATGTCCCAAAACAAAAACTCTCTGGGATACTTCCCAAGAAACAAGCTATTAAATGCTACTACAGCACACCTGTTAAAATAGCCAGAGCTTACTTGGCAAAAGCAGATTCCAAACCCACAATTAGAGCTTACATGTAGGGCACACAGGACAAATATATATGTGAGTCTCTGGGTGACTTAATTTTATTTATCTCAGTCCCGGGCATCTTTTAAACAGCAGGCAGGATGCATTTGATTGATTGCTGATGTGATAATTATTAATTTACTTGTTTTAGACAGTGAAACACCTCGGATTTCAGCAACATGGTAGATCTGCTCTAATTCTCTGGCCATCTAAAAATAGGCAACTAGTAGCTAGGCGATTTAATCTAATTGTCACCACACCTTCAATGATGTTCAAGATTTTTTTTAGTTACCATAGGGACGATATATGTTTCTGAAAAAAACTTTGAAAAAAATAGATATAAAAGCTGTGAGTGAACCTAAAGGAGCGCAAGACAAAGCAGGAGGAAGGTTGTTCCTTGGTGCTGGCACAGAAGGATTCCCAGCCTACATCTTGTGGGGGCTTTTTTCTTTAAATGCTAGTTACTTGGTAAAAAGATGAAATTACAAGCAAATGATTAAAATCAGCACTAGAGAAGACCTAGATGATGAGGGCAAGAGTGAAGGAAAAGACTTCATCTTCTTAACAGACTTTCTGAGAATCAGGAGATTTTTAAAAAGAAATTAAGCTTGACTTCAAGACAATATTCAACCCGATCATTTTCTTAGTTATACTAGTCCATAGGCCTACCAAAAATTGCTCTTGCTTTCTGAAGAAAGAGCATCTGCTCCACCTGTGATGCTGTTTCTGCAGCTGCTTTTAGCAGAGAGCCTTCAAGTGGTGCAGGGACATACACACGTGGGGGCAACACGCTTAGGGCCATCAGCTTCCATTTCTCCTAGCTGCTAATTCAATACCAGACACTGGATGAGAAGGATGGCATTTGCAACCAAGGGCTGAGCAAAGGAACCCTGCTAGTCTGGCTGGGCTTTGGTTGGGATCTAAAGGGCAGAAGCTCCCAAAGCGAGTGCCTCAAGAGCCATTCTGGCCTCTTGGATAACCTGCTCCGGATCCGAAAGCCGTCTGTTCCTGCTCCGCGTTGCTCGGGCTTCGCTCGGGAGAGGGAGCTCTGCAAAGGGGATGTGAGGACACCTGGGCAGACTGCAGATGCTCATCACATGGACGCTTGGAAATGGTTGTATCAGCCATGAATGAACGCAATTCGGTGATCATCTAATTCATCCCTATGAATAACTTAATTAATAACAATTACCATTGCTTTTATTTATATTTACAGCTGAACACATCTGCTTAAAGCTATTTTTAGAATATCATGTTCTGTATTCTGGAGAAAAGATTTGTATTTATGAGAACGAAAATAGGCAGCTGTTGTCACAAGAGTCAAGACTTCTCAGTTGCACAGGGAAAATTACATGCTGTAGTAGACAACGAGTACTTCAGGGAGCAAAGACAGACCCAGAAGCATCAAGGGGCAGTAAGTTCAGGGGAGAGGGTTCTTCCTTTCCGTTCGAAACCTCATTCACCTTTTCCAGAATCTCCTAATACCTCAACTTCAAATCAACTTCCAGGGCCTTCCTCCCTCCCATATACGGACCCCGTTCCCATCTTTTTTGCTTCCACAGCTTCAGCTGAGGGCAAGAACGAACGATCCAGGACCAAGATCTGCCCTAAGGCTGGAAGCAGAGAAAGAATCAGGAGAAGAAGAAGGTTTCAGAGCTTTCTCCAACTGCTCAGGCTGCTGCAAAGAGGCAAGGAGGACAGTCTATTGCAACAGTGACATCCCTGCAGGACACAACCTTTCTCTCTGTGTAGGCAGGAGACCTGAAACTTGTTCAGGTCAGAGCATGTCTTCTATCTCCTCAAGCAAACTCTAACTATTATAGACTCAAGAAAAAACTGGAAAAAAAAAACATGTTTAGGTAATATTTCATCTATTTTTAAATGCCATTTTAAAGGCTGGCTAAGGAGTTAGAAAAGGATTAAATCAAGATTAATGACTGGGTTTTTTCTTCAGAAATCAATGTATTCAGGAAGGACAGAGGAAGGAAAGCATGTCTATTAAATATGGAATATCAAGATGTATGCCTGGAACATGTAACTTCTGCAAAGTAATCAAATTAGATTTATTTTAAATCTTCCATTAAATTCAGAAGTAGAACAGATTAAAAGGTCCACAGGTCAAAATCTTCTACTGGATTCTGCATTCAAAATGCAAGTATAAATGTTGGCATCTTATTTTTTCTCGTAAATTTTTCAATAATTTTGTCTGCTATCTATTAGTTCCAGAAGCTAGTTATCTTTTGATAATACTGACAATGTACATTTGGAGACAGCCTTCAGGCCCTCCTTAACTATGTCTGACCAATTTGAACCATTCTCAAAGAAACTCAGAGCAATTCATAGTTTATCTGGGAAATGTGACAATGTAGCCTCTCACAAACAAATTATGCCAAAGGATTGCTTTTAATGAAGCTATTATTTAGTATTTTATGCATATTTTAAAGTGTTTGACAAGTATGTTATAAAATACAGTATACAGAACAGTAAGGAAATGAAATCTTATCTAACATAAACTCGTTACTGTAAGCCCCAAAAATATGTTACTTCAGTGTAATCCCAGTATAAAGAATGTGTAAAGAACTCATACACTTTCCAGTTTTATGCTTATTTTCATGGCTAGCAATAAATTGAAGAAAAAAAGTGAGATATTTAATTCCATTTTATGAATGAAATTGCTGGTATATTTTTAGTTATCATAGGCTGCAGTGTCAGTAGTTATGTAAAGCTTTAACTTCTGAGTAAAAATCATTGAAGACAATATCGCAGAATTATCTTTACTTTCACAAAAACACATTTCTTCCTATAACCATATTCTGAATGACTGGAATCTTCAAATTATGAAAGAGACAGTGCATAATCATAAATACGACTGATTGAATTTATGGAGAATTCCAGAAGACTCCATCCTATTATTAATGCACAGGGGAACAATGCAACGTATAGTGTCCTGTATGCTCCACAGCATGTTGATAGTTCTGGATATAGGCCTCAACAAGTGAAAAGCAGCGAAAGGTGTTCAAAACTTAATACAGCTGAATGCAAAACAGCCTGTATGAGCAGTCAATATAGCTATCAGAACTGACTAGCATAGAGGATGCAATGAGGAATAAGAAGATTAAGGGGAGTCATCTTACATATAGATGGAAGGGTCTTCTATATTTAGGGCTCAGGAATTCTCTTGGTGCAGAAAAGGGAGCAGATGGAGCTTCCCAGCAAGGATCCTGGCCCTTGGAATTTGGGAGCATCTTAAGAGGTTTTGTACCTCCCTGGGAGAACACAGGTCAGTAAAGTCTGCTTGTGGACTGCCTCGCTGGAGCTGGAAGAGGGCCTTCACCATCACTTAAAGTAACTTAGTGCCGCCTCTAATCGCTCTGTGTTCAAATTTAACACATAAGCAGCCCAACGCCAAAATTGGTCTCACAACTGTCCTAAGAATCCGCTCTCTCGTATTCATTCTGTCTGGGCCTGAGGGTTTTGAATGTGAACTGGCTTCTTATGTAGTCCTGCTGCCTGAATATTAATCTGTCACTCTGCCCTCCTACACAAAATAGTGAGGTTTTAAAAAAGCTTTTGGACAGTTTCATCTACATTGACAGAGGCGCAGAAATACCAAATTGAATCAAGCTCCTACAGATCTTTGAAAATGGTTGCTAGATAGAAGAGAAAGATCCAAATCATAACCCCTAGGGGAAAACACACAAAATCATGCTAAAATGTGCGGCTAATCCACATGTGCAGAAATCCACATGAGCCACAGCAAACCCCGTATCTTTTGAAGATAGGAGACATGAGAAAGATTTGAGATTGTTTCAGAAGAGAGTGCAGGAGACAGAACACGGGAAGCACAGGATAGAAGGAATGGAAAATATCCTTTTTTAATCCTACTCTCAGGAAATATCCAGTGGGGTATTTTTCTCCCCACTATGGCATCCGCTCTATTTTCTTAACACTGTTTCATTTCTTAAACATAACTGAAAGATAATTAGATGTACCAATTCTTAATGAGATTGCCATAATTAAAATTGTAGGAACTGCAAAAAGTCCCACATGAAATGTACTACAAAATTTAAGCTTGTAAAACCCTTACATTATGAGTTTATCTATATTTAATTAAGGCAAACTAAGTATATCACTTCTCAGATATGACAACTAGATTTGCAACTGGGGACTTAAAGTAATATAAAACTGTAAAAACATTTATCAGTATAAATACTGATATTGCCAGTATTTCACTTACCCCATGTCTCTATCCTAAAAATATTTACACTAGCTCTCAAACAGCTGCAAAACAAGTGTTCATTTTACTATTGCTTAAGCAAAACAGCATTTGCTTAGTATAGTTAATAAAGCATACTAGAGTTTACCTACCAAAGCACTATCTAAAAGAAATGCATACAAAACAAGTACAGTATTATGATACTGCTCTGATATCAATACACAGCTGCTAAGAATAGAGAAACAAAGGCAACAAAAGCCCCATTACTGAAAAGCAGACAGGGAAAGCCAAAGAACATTTTAGCAACTTAGCATCTGCACAATAGGTAGCATAAGCACACCAATAAAATATCAAATTAAATTTTGCATGTATATGGAAGCAGTAAGCATTTCTGGCATGCTGAAAGTTTACCTGAATTATATGAATATAAGCCTTTATCTGGAAAACAAATATTGAAATGAAGTAGTGTCAGGGGAAAACACATGAATCAACACATGTAACAGGGATGGTTTGCACCTTAAACTTCATATTAATAATTTCTGGAAACTGTAGTATATGATATGGCAGGCCACAATCATCCAAAAGAAAAAAAACCTAACCAGCTTGAAGAAATTAAACAACAAAAAAGCCGAATTACTTCTGTATCAACATTTATACTACGCAGTCACATAAGACTAACAGAAATTTCCAAATCTGAAAAGCAAGTCACATAAGACTAACAGAAATTTCCAATTCTGAAAAACAACTGTCCATTTACTATGCCTAAATGTTTAACTTTTTAAGAGCAACTGATGTATCATCAGCTAGATATGTACTATGAATTCCTACCCTTAACATCACTGCACGGGGCGGTGAGCAGCCCAGCAGGGTGAGGTTAGGTTTTTCTAAACTTCCACATTTTTTGACAGAATGGAATCTACATGCACTAGTATGCAAAAATCTGGAAAGTCTAGAACACTAGAAAGTCATCAAAAGTTCAACAAGAACCAAGAGCCATCAAAAAGACTTGATGACATTCTTGAATTTAAATTTTGTAAAGAGCTGTTTAAAAGCTGGAGACTAGAGAATATTATTATTAAATTTATTTGAAAGTTTCACTACAACTATTACAATTGAAGAATACAGCTTATCATGTTTCAAAAATTAAAGTAAAAATACTACTTTTAGTCAGAAAAAGTCAGGTCTGTATCTTTTAGGATCATTTTAAAGGTCTCCTAACTTGCTATCTATCCAGGGCCTAGAAATATTACTTTACACTATTCATTGCGTTATTCTGACAAAGAACATTGCTTTTCTGCCATAATTATATGACACCTAGATAATTTAATAAGATCATTATATCAATTAAATGGAGTGATAGAATTATAAGCAATATTCCAATTCCCTTTAGTTGCTTCAAAACATTGGTAAGATTTGAAATAATTTGTAGTTTAATAATAATTTAGTAATTCTTAATTCTTCAAAGAGCATAGATCTAACTTCTGATTTCTTTTCCGTATTTTGATAGTTTAAGGCCTTTGAAGACACCCCTGTATCATGTTAAATACCTTTTTATTAAAGTATTTAATAAAACATAGATGTACAATAAATATAATAAATCATAGATGTATAATAAATACTGATATTTATTTCAAATTCTGTGAACGAAACATTAATGCAAACAAAGATAGCATGCTCCAGGCCTGTGCTCCATAAAAGAAAGAGAAAAATTAATGAATAAGAATGAAAGGGAAAAATATCTGTTATTCTCTAGAGCTAATTTCTTTTTTGTTCACCACTCACAGATCTGTGCCGCTGACCGTATTATAATGCTCCATATTATAATGGGAATAAAAGGTAATTGATATGCATTACCATTAAGTACTACTCACCTACTAGTCAACAGAATTATTATCATTCTCTCAAGTAAGATTCGGTAGCATTGATTTAAAACTGCTCTGCTGACTTACCTTATTCACAGCAAATTAAATGGGAGTTATTGAGACAGCAAGATACTGATTCTGCTGAAAAATGAGACTATACAGAGTTCCAGGGAAGTCAATGGCTTTCCCTGGATGACTGAGGTTTGACATGAAGGGGCTCCAATTTCATTGGGTAAAATTTCAGACACATTTTAATCAATTATTATTAAACATTAGTAACTTAGCAGTCATGAAACCATCATAATGTTCCACAAAAAAGATTTGAACATTTTAATATGAAAATAATGGAGGAGAAGACCTGAATTAATAGCTATAAGATGCAACTCATCTTTGCTCTAGTGTACAACCACAGGGAAAAAATATAAATAAAAAGAAAGAAAATGGGTCTCAGCAATGATGAGACCATCCAATAGCTACTCTCCAAAACTGCAAAATTTTGTTCTTCATTCAGCCTACTAATTTGCTGATTCTAGGTTGAATGTAATCATTTTTACCATGTTAAAGTCTGAACACAGACCCAGAAAACATAGTCTGATTTCAGGTAAATTGTATAAAGCATAGTCAGGAACTTATTTTTAGAACTTATTTTGTCAAAAGGTTTGCTTATGGATTATAAATTCTTTCATTTCACCCAGATTAATAGAGAATATTTGGTAAAGGAATGCTATATATATATAGCTTTTGCATGCTATATGTAGACATCTTTTGTAGACCCTTTTGTTCTCCCACCAGACTTTTATACACATCATATTAAATTATCATGTAGCCTTCAATGACATTAATGGAAAAATAAAATTAGGTAAATATTCCATAAAAGAAAACCGCTTTATGTTTTCCTTATTTCCAGCTATTTTGAACCTGACTAATTTTCTGGTGTCTTGGCAGAATGCAGTTTGATCCACTATTCTGGAATTCTAAGTGTTGACCTCCAAACACTGTCATTTCTAAAATCTCTTAGACTGTGTTTTCAAGACAGCCATTGTCGCATAGATTCACTATTTTCCCTGATTAAAAAACACATATTTCAAAAAAATATAATACTGTAGTGTATCTCATGGCATTTGAAGCTGTATCTGGAGACCTGGAAACACCTGCATTCCTGATTTTGTATGTTCCTCCCGTTCTTTTGACATTTAGCTATTATCCACACTGTCCACCCACTCACTGCAGCCAGCAGATCAATACTTCAACCAGCTTAAAATATATTTTCAAAAAGAAATATCTGTTACTTTTTAACCCTAACTCACCTGTAAACTGTTAGAATACTTTTTGTAAAATAAAATAATGAAAGCTGCTCCTAAAATATATTCCTAAAATATAGAATTTTAAAAATCCATGTGCTTCCAAATGTGTGATAACCCGAAGTTCTTCATCCACTGAACAGTGTCAGCTCACACTGCACAGCCACAGACATTACATGGGCATCACTGTAAAAGCCTGATGAGGAAGGCTGGGATGCAGCGTGGTGACTGCTATCTCTGTGCTCTGGGATGTGCACAGAGGAAGTAATTACCCATTTGCAGTCCCATGGTAAAAAACCTCCTTCATTTCTGCAGCGGTTATCACTGAATAGTAATGCTAATGATAACTTCTATCCCATTCATCTCAACACCTACGAATACAGCATCCAAACCACATTTACTTTTCAGTGGAATCTGTGATTAGCCTCTTATCTAGTGTGAGAAGCATTAATAATGTTATCACCTAACTGACTACAGGAACTCTCACTTTTTTCCAAGATAATTTTGTATTTTCTGCTTACAATCTCATGTTAGAGGCAATATAAAAAAGAACTTTAATTTGCCAATAATTTCAGTTAATTCTGTCTTGATAGTTAGTGATAGCTACATAGTTAATGACTCTCTTTGAAAGCTGGTTCCTAAAAAATGGCATATGGGAACTCTGTAGGAAGACTGCACTATGCTACTGGCTGTCGTAGAATACTGGAGTTCAGTCTGCAGGGCTGACAAGCTGCTCATTTTCTAGAATACTAAAATCCATTGACATTAGAAGTGGAATACAAGCACTTCATGGTAAAACCACATAAATCCCAAGAATTTAACACAAAGCAAGTGGGTAAATATAGGTGGTTCTTTTAAACTACCTTCAGAGAATAGTATTCAAGGTTTATTTGTGTTTTTTTTTCACATATATATATATATTTATGGTAACCTGCCTGTCAGTCATGAAGATAAGAAAACTTAAGTGTCTATACAAAACAACAAACCTGTAATTCAAGATGTCTCTCCTTTATATAGCAGAAGTTTAATAAAATATTTTTTTGATTTTTTTTTTTTTGGTAAAAGAACCAGATTTCTATATGCTACTGCTAGCATATTATCACTATTTTACCCAGTGAAGACAAGCAAGTATAACATCTGACATCTGCCCTTCATCGGTCCCTTGGTGATGAAGTTTAAAATCCTCTGGGCTGGGAGCCCTTGTGAAGGCCACCTGGTGCAAGGCCACTTCAGAGCAGAGCCAACTCACAGCCTTGCTCAGGGTCTTGTCCAATTGAGTTCTGGATATCTCTAAGGGGATATTCCACCACCTTTCTAAACAACCAAGAAATATTTTTATTTTTATTTCAGAAGTGTAACACAAATTCACAGATTTTTTTTTCTTTTTTCTTTTTCTTTTTTTTTTGACAAATGGAACCCGGTACCGCTGCAGAATTCTGGCCAGGTGTTAGGTTTCCATTGCGGTGCCTTCCCATTATCAAATGGGGAACATCTAAAATGAAGTGAACATCTAAAATCCTTCCCTTGGTTAAACATGACTATATGGCGTCAAGGCACTGCTCTGGGAACAACCACATTAAATGATTCTTCACTGAAAAGCAGGATTTCTACACCAAATCTTCCTGCTCCACCAAGCCAGGAGTCTTTGCAAATCCTTCTCTATAGATTTCCACAGAGAGATGTAAGATTGTGTAGGTGATCACAGGAAAAGTATTTAACACTTTTTCCAGATTTTCCACATTCTTTAATCTGTCTTTAAACAGATCTTTCATCTCGTATCACTATTCTTCATAGCAATTATTTAATGTACATATGGGAACTACTACAAACAAAGAGGTTTCTTTGTAGGACTGAGTATTTCCTGAAAGTTAAACTTTCACTGAAGTCACATATGAATGCATTTTGTATACAGACACTGGATAACCCAATTGATACATAAAAACATTCTTACATGGAAGAAAAATAGATTTAACTTATCAAAAATGTGTTCCAAAATGGCAGAAAATAAAGAAGAAAATAGTTAAAATAAGAATTTATTTAAAATAAAACTCACAGTCCTGAAAAAAATGGAGAGGAGTGAATTGTAAAAGAGATCCTTAACTGCTAGCAGGCATTTCTTTCCTTCTTTATATAATATCATGGCTTAAAGGCTACACACTTTAACTCTCACTTAATGTATCTATCTCAGAGTATTATGATATGGAGCATTTTAATCCCTTTCACCTTCCAAGGCACAGATACAAGATCTGCCAACTATTTTAAAAGATTTACATAAAAGAGATAAACTAATAGAGACTCTATACAGAACATATGAAATACTCAAGCTTGACTGTGTTTCTGTGACTTTGTGTGTATTACCATAGGCATACACACAAAATAAAGAAAAGAAAATGCAAAGAATTCTTATAAATAGTTTTCCTCTTTTTAAAAGAGAAAAGAATTTTCTGTGGGAATGATAAAAGAAAAATCAGAGCATCAAATCAAGCATATTTTATGAAATTAATTCAGTGAAGAACAGTTTTGAACCACAGTCACTAGTGATCACTTTATCAAGAGAAACGATAGCCGTAACAAAGCTGCATTCTCACTGTATACTAACATATCTCTTTTCCTTAACACACTATATATTTTATTTTCAAAATATTTACTGATAACTGAAAACTACTGTGGATCATGTATACTAACTGTATGAAAAAGAGTTAGAAGATAAATTTAATTCGTGAATCGAACCACATAAAGCAGCATCAAAACAAACCAACAGGCCATGATATTTAGCTGTACATGTTTATAGAAGTCACTGTTCTTCATTTATAAGAAGTTTGAGTTAGAGAGAAAGTTATTGCACTTCCACTTTTGGTTAAATAATGGAATGATAAACCTAATACAGGAGACTGGACTTCAGAAGATAAAAACAGAACACTGCCAAAGACCAAGATAATTCAGTCAAGCTGAGGATTTGAACCAGGTAGACTAACAAGAGAAATGGTAGCTTATACAGCATTTAGTATTACCATATGCACCAGTTCAAGCTTATCAGCAATCATAAATTCATAAGAGCTACAAATGAACACACAAATTTTGTCGGCTTCCTATGTAAAATAATTTAATATACATGTTAATTCAAATGAACTACACACAGGTAAAACCAGCAACTTACTTTGTAACCTCCGTGTGGGACTCTCGCCATGGAGTTGTCTGCGTGGCAAATACGGGGACGGGTGGGGAAGTGGCAATGAAGAGACATCATGTGTTTGAAGTTTGTACCAGTGAGGTTCATCATCTAGTAATGCTGTCTCTAACTCAATGAGAATCTCCAAAAGAAAAGGCGATTAAAGGTCAGACGGCATTAAAAAGAGAACACAATCAGCATATCCATAAAATTCATTCGCTTATTCTATTTTCTCACCGTTAAGGAATATGTGTGAAATTTTATAAACATCTTACATTTAAGAGAGGAGTTTCTATGCCTTTGATGATGTCAAATAAATAAACAAACACAAAACCCTTAGTACCTTACCAACCACCTTAACAGCATTCAAACATCTTCTAGAAAATTAGTCTGCAATACTTTCCAACATCTAGACTTTGGATAATACGGATTGTAATGAACAGTTCTCAAATAATATGAAACCATTTGGATACTGTTTCAAAACCAGAACAATGATTTAATACCTCAGTATTGCGTGATAAGTGCGAGAACACTATTTGTTTGCTTCTAAGCTAAATAAACAGAAATATAACAATTAAAAGCAGTTTTGCTTTGTCTCACTATATTTAATTATTTTATTCAGGAATATTGTATGTAGAAATGAATATGTGTTCAATTATACAAAATAACAACCAAAGATAATCATATACCTCTCCTAAAAATTCACTTTCTTCCTCTCGAACTCGTGCTTGGTCCCAAAGAGTAATTTCTAACATTCGTTCTCTAAATTCTCTCCGGTGAACTGGAGAATAAATGAATGTTTGGTTCCACTTAGGTTCCAATGTTTTCTTTACTGTTTTTGTTCTTCTTTTATTTTTATCACTGCAAAAAAAAAATTAAATATTAAAAGTGACCAAAATATAAAAATATTGTAATAAGCATCCCATGGAACGCACCAAAATCTAAATCAGCTGTACACTGCAGAATACTTTGAAGAATACTATTGTAATATGGCTCAGAATTAGCCCTTTATGACAAAATTAAGTTCAGTACATATATTGAGAGCAATCCATGACTTCATATTACAAACATAGCCACTTCCCAGTTCAAATTCCAACTCCGAGTTTAAGAAGCTTCCTGAAAACCAGGAACGTTTAAGCTCATTTCAGAAACAGAAGACAGGGCTTTCAAGAAACAAAATATACTTCTGTAGATGGGACTTCCATGGGCCATTGCTTGGAAGTAAAACTACTGTATGGATAACACTGGGCACAGGAAAAATCAGCATTTCAGACAAGGCAGCCGGCCTGTTCGCTTCTACTTGCCAGGCCTACAGGGTGCTAAGCCACAGAGAGGAGGTTTTGCAGAACACTTCTGTTTGAAATAATTAGCTTGCTGATGGAAACAGGCTTCACTGGAAAATACCCACATTCCTTCAAATGGGAATACTGAAAAGGGTGCTCAATCCTTAATTAACAATCCCTAATTTTAAACTTCCTGATAAATGCATAATGCAATAGCAGTACTAATTCTTGGAGACTCTCTGTATGGTCATGAAAACACTGTCCATTTGCAAATATTTCAAGTTGCAAAAGTTATTGTATTTCTTAAGTGTTACTTAGAATCTGGATCAACACAATAACTATGAATTAACATTTTTAGACACACTGTTAGAACAAATAAAGTAATTATTTCTATTGTAATAAAGATTTACTTACCCTTGAGATTTGAAACAAGTTGCATGGGAAAAGCTTTTTCACTGAAATGTGTTTAATGAAAGAGTTTCATACCTTCATCTAATTAAGCACTTGATTTGTTTAAGCGTATTTTATCTCTAGCAGATTTCTTTCTCTTATACAAGAAACATATTTTTGCTTACCTAGCCTTTTCTTCTGAGGAGAAGAAAAGCAATTAGCCTGTCAGGAAAAAAACTAATTCGAAAAGACAGCTTGCTAGTTCTTTTTTTGTGTGTGTGAGATAAGAAACAGAAGAAATAACTGAAGAAAAGATTCTGAACTCTTCACGTAAACAGGAAGAGAAAAACATCTTGTGAACATCAGCACAGAATAACAGAATATAATAATATATAACTTTCGGCATTTGCATAGATTAAATTATTTAATGAAATATCTGTTTCTCTTATATAGAATTATTTGAAGCTACATTGTGAGCTGCTATGAATACAGACATTTTTAGCAGCTTTATTAATCTTCAAAAACCTACTGAGGCAACTTTTGCAGAATTGATTCCCAGTTCAGTTTAGCTTCAGTGTCTCCAAAATACAGCAAACTAAAAATCTGGTCCAACAGTTTAAGTATTTTTGAGGCAAAGACAATCCAGCCAAGAACTTTCTCTCAAATGATACAGTAATTTGTGCAGTCACTGCAAGTTTTTTTGTTAACATATGGCATACAATGGCAGTGTCTTCCAAAGAACTGAATAGCTTTCATTTTGGAGGAAATCAACTGGAACTAAGATAGTTTGCATCTTCTCAGTTTGGATATTATGAAAAGCAATGGATGTAAAAATAGAGGCAGTATGCACGCAATTCTACAGATTTAGCAAAATACTGGCCAATTTTTAAAATATTGAGTTAGTTTAACCTTTCAATTATTTGACTGAGAGAATAGAAAATAAAGCTAAATATATTCCTCTACTGATTTATGTTGAAGAAATACACCCCAAAAAGTTCATCTGGATGACACACTACCCTCTTTGCTGTTCTTCCTGCCACCCAAGTGGAAATGAAAGAAAATCACGAATTAAGAAACAAAGAAGTGATTCAGGAATAAGGGCCCCTACCATAGTATCATTTTCCTTAAATGGATATGTATCACAAGCACAGATCAATATGAATCTGAGGTATCTTGTTATGACAGATACTGTGATATCAAATCTGTGAGTTTCACCTTCTCCTGTTTTGCTGTGCAAAGGTCGGGGGAGAAACGAAGTGTTGAAGAAATGATCAGTCCATAAATCTGTGAACTTAATTCTGTGCAGTTCTCCCAGCTTTCCCTGCACTAGACAGCTCAGGAAATAAGAGCATAACAAAATACTTACACCTTTTTTTTTTTTGCAGGTAACAGTTTCTTATGCAAAGAAGTATGTCCACCTTTCCCTTTCCATTCAGTATCTAAATAAATATCCAGCTAAAATGAATTTGTGTTCAGTGTTCAAAGAAAAACTGCTGTTACACAGCATATACAACAGAGAGACTCCAACCTGTAAGATTATTCTCTGATGACCAGTAAATTTAGCTCCACATTTGGAATATCAGAGTAATTCTTACTCAAAAGCACCTTGTCTTTCTGTTCACCCTACCTTCTGTCTGGGAGAAAGTAAATTTTAACGTAAGGGTTTCTTGGCCTCCCATCTTCTCTTGAAGGAAGATCCTTTGCTCCCAGTATTGTGACTATTAACTGATGACCAACCTTGTCATACCACAGTTTTATCTGCAATGAAAACAGTATTCGTTACTGAATTCATTTCTCCGATTAAGTAACACATTAATCCTTAAAATTAATTTTATTCGTTAGCTTCTATCAGTTACTTTAACACAAAAAGAATATGTTTTACTTTGTACTTATACTAAAGCAGAAAAAATAAGTGAATACTTTAATAATTTCAGTATGTACCAGGAGTCATTCATTTTTAGAACCTTATACAGCATGTACGTTATTTCATACTAACTGTCTTTCAGGTGGTACTCTGTTTAGGATTATTCTCTCTTGGCAGTAGTATTGCATTACTTATGTTCCTGATGTATGGTATTCGTAATTAATGACTGAATATTTCATCTCCTGTTGTGCTGGGAAGACTATGGTTGAAGACCATAAACACTAGGAGTCTCCTAAATGTTTTCCAAGAGACTTATTCTGAAATCAAATAAGCCTTCCAAGTACTTATAAAAAGAGAGAGGCTCAG